AGCCTTGAGGCATCTTGGGGTGCCTCCGTGACAGGGCCTCGAGGTGGGCCGGGCGGGGCACCTCGAGGCAAGCGGGGTGGGGCCTTGGGACGGGGTGCTTAACATTTATTCAAGGATTACAGAACGCATACATACTTATTCTAGAAAATGTTTTCCATGTTTTCCAAAATATATTGGTGTTATAGAAGTGATGACTGTGTTGATAGCAAATCGATTTGTCTTACAATGATTTCTACTTTACTGATAAAACTGCAAATATTAGTCTATTTGTTGTTGGTTAAGAAAACCTCTGTGCGACTTGGTTGAAAAGAAAAAAATAGGTATTGATTGTTACTGAAAAAAATGAGGGTGTTGTAGATGACAAACAGATGGAGTAAGTAACCAACCTCTTTTCCTGGATAAATCATCTTTGATATATTTTTATTGAACTCAATGTTTTCTTGTGCATTGCTGCATAGGTCCTCTGTGTAGTTATTTAGATAATGAAGATAGATATGGTGCTGAAGTTGGTCTAAATGGAATAGAAAAGATATTGAAGCTTGGAGAAGAAAAAAAGGTGAATAATGGGTGACAATAATGTATATGTTCAAAAGATCATACGAACTAAGGCTATGCAATGAGATACTGGCAATCAATACAATCTGTTGATCCTACCGCTGTACCTGTTCCTCCTCGGGGTTCCAATACCCAAATGCAGTGCATGCCAGCAGCCTTGACTGCTAAGGATGTTAAGTGGCTCTGCGTCAGGCTCGTATGTTAAGTATGTTATTGAGCAAGAAGATCTCAGAGTTGAGATTGATCGCCTTAAGGATGAACTGGCCCAAGAAAATAAGATGGAATGTGAAGAGTTGCCCGTTAATGGGACATGAAACCAGGTACACATCTTCAAACACTTTTTCTTGAAACTTATTCAGTACATTGGGGAGGTGATATTTTGGCCATATATAAATCAGATCAGAACTTTTAGTAAAGAAACATTATTCTAAAGTTGGTGTTGAAAGAGCTCTGCCGATAAGAGAGTCGTCTTCCGTTACAAGAAAAGGCTAGACACCTAAACTTATAATTTTTGTACTTAGAATATATGATGTTTACGATTTTAATTAGATATCCATTGTTAATGTTATATATGGCTTCCATTCAACACTAGCCAATACATTTTGCGCCAGGTTGTTCTTCACTTTCAGTTTTCAAAAAAATAAATCTAAATACACATCGAAGTGTAGTTTGTTGTAAATTTCATTGACAGCAGAATGTGTTTGATAAATTGATATCCTTTTTCGATCGTGTACACTTGAATCAACTTCTCTTAGAAAGAGTAAAGCTGCAAACAATTAGGTTCTTCAATATGTACTTTGTTTTGGAACGTGGTTATTATCTGACTTAGCATCTTAGCCAGTATCTACTTAAGATGAGATGTTCCTACGTTGTTCTTCTATGTGATATTTATTTGTCTTGTGTTCGAATTATTTTAACCATTGATTAGCTTACATATGATGTATGGCTTCAGCCCTCTGTTTATGTCTTTCCATAGTTATCACGTATTTGTTCAATTTCTTTTTAATGTGACTCCTTCCTTTCATTAAATTAACATCATCTCTCCTCTATCGGTTGCTTAGGGAAAAAGATGATCTTGTTCTGCCTTGCCCATAAAAGGAAATTAATCTATGACCTTAATATGATTGTGAGAATTTTCGCTTGAATCAGGTGTATAAGGGACAACAGAAATGCTTATGTATGAAGACAAATTGGGATTTCAACAATGTCCTTGATTTCCACAGCTACACATTTTATAGAATATTTCTTTCCTCTAACTTTATGAACTATCTGCACGAGTTTCATTTCCCTCGCATTTCTTAATATTACAATTCATTGATTGGTCCTGCATCCAATATTCATATATAACGTCCAATATGCTACCTCTACTCTCTTATTATACCATTGATGGTGAATATAGGGAGGTGAAACATGTGGTGAATCCTTTCGATCGGTGATTCCTCATAATTTCAAATGTTCCCTGGAGATGCACCTCAAGCAAACCATATTTGGCAAAGCTACAGAAGAAGGTGAAACATTAAGGCATTGCCTACTAGATATCGAGGATCTTATAAAGAAGAGAGGTCATCGCTGAGGCCTCATAGTATGCAGCTGCTCTGGAAACAGAAAAGGCGATAAAATGCTTTTCTTGATCAGATGAAAATGAATGAGGTTCTTTTGACACTGTTATAAAGATATGCATTTTGCAAAATTAGGATTCAATTGAATATTCTGCAAAAGGAAAGCCACCATCTATAAGCTAATTTTTTGCTGCATGATTTAGTTTCTCCCGGAGTTGAGAGGAAAATTCAATAAGGGAGCAGATGAATTATACTAGTTGTGCAACATCTATGAGTTAATATCTCAGGTGATTAATTGTTCTTTTCATAAAAAGTCACTCAAGTGAAGTTTGTTATAGTGTGTCACCCATAGATGAGTGGTCAGTTAGAGTGAATTATCCAGGCCTTCGAGGATGTGTTATGAGTATGTGTGAGGGATTTTGAGTGGTCATTGGGATTCGTTCTTGTAAATTGTAGACGTTGCATGAGGAAAGGGTAATCACTTTAGCATTCAGGAAAACCTGTTTAATTTGAGGCCTTGTATGATAAGATATGACATTCACTGATTGGTTAGTTCAGTGTTTTCAGGCTCAGGATATGAGTGCATACTAGATGGGATATTCTTTGATGACTCAAGTCGATTTAGAATTGGGTCTCACACTTTAGGGTAAATTAAAGATTTGTGTTAAATAATGGATTTGTTACTTAGATTCATGGCTGGTAAGGGAGTTTGTGGAATGCATCGTCTATGAAAGACGTTATGAGTTTTGGGAAGGAGGGAAAGCTAAGTCCAAGGTTCATTGTCTCAGTTGTTGTTTTGCAGCATGTAGGTGAGAAGCTAGGTGATTCGATTTTACTTCTTGGTTTGGCAATTATGCATCTGGAGTTTCAGGTTCTAATGTTGAAAGAAGATTATTCTAATGTGGATGAGACCATTTGGGAGGTTGAGACAGTCATTTAGAGTAGATATCCTCAGTTTTTTGACACTTCAGGTGTGTCTTTTTTCTTTTTACATTCAAGGATGAACGTGCATTTTAAAGGTGAATGATGTAATGACTCTTATAGTCATTCGAGACTTTTACATGTTTTAACTATTTTACCCCTCCTCGTAGTTTGATTTTGGCATTTGTGGCCTGTGGGAGTGGATTATTCCCGAGGTATCTTGACAGGAGTTATGAGAGTTTTTCATTTTGGAAGGTTATAATAATTACAATAGTTGACCAAAGTTAACATTCGTATAAGACGAGCTACAAATGCAATTTCGACAATTCCATCAACTTCAAAAGGTGATTTTTGTGTTGATTGGACCTTTGGTTTGGATCTCGATGCTTTCGGATTAGAGAGAAAGAGTGTGGTTTGGACATTTATTTATTTCATAAGCATACTTACGATTAATAGTTTCATAAATGTAATAATTTGTTATTTACAAAACTAAGCATCTGGAGTTAACAGGTTTGGCAATTATGCATCTGGAGTTTCAGGTTCTAATGTTGAAAGAAGATTATTCTAATGTGGATGAGGCCATTTGGGAGATTGAGACAATCATTTAGAGCAGATATCTTCAGTTTTTCGACACTTCAGGTGTGTCTTTTTTCTTTTTACATTCAAGGATGAACGTGCATTTTAAAGGTGAATGATGTAATCACTCTTATAGTCATTCGAGCCTTTTAAATGTTTTAACTTCTTTACCCCTCGTAGTTTGATTTTGGCATTCGTGACCCTATTTGCTGTCGTTATGTGCTTTATTTTTGTTCTTCCCTTACATAAATAAGATTAAGCCACCAGTTGTTTACCACCAAAATTCCTCATTGAATCTTATATGCAACTTTGCATGACCAGAAACTACATCTATGATTAGTCATCCAAGGATTTGTAATAAAGTAATTAAACTACAATAACCAAAAAGTCGTGCAGCATCGTCGCAGCCTTTACAGCTTAGCTATAAGCTGTTCTGTTCGGTGTAACTTTGTTGTGCTCTTTCACCCCTCATATTTCCATGACTTGCTATAGAAAAAATATGAGCAAAGCTTATGAGCTTTGGGTATACTGGATTAGCTCCCGTTTGGCTGTAGATTTTGGGATTAGATTTAAAAAAATCAAAAAAAAATTCAAGTTGCAACAATTTTTTTGTTTTTGGTACTTTCACTAGCAAAACTCCAATTTTTTTCAAGTAAAATGCATGTCTAAATTTAAGTTCAAATTCCAAAAGTTATTTTCCAACGAACTCTAAAAACTTACTTTTCCCAAGTTTCAACTAATTCTATAGCCAAACAATAATAGCCAAGTTGATAATATTGGCTTTTACGACAAATACAAAGTTTGAACTAAAGCTGCTTGCTAGGTGAGCCTATTGCCTTTAGTTGCTTGAGACATCCATTGCTTCATTTCCCTTTTTCTTTTCTAATTGGAGTTTTGTTAAAGAGGTTACTGTTGTGTTCTGCTTCTTTGCTACTTTTCTAATTGAAATTTATCTACATGCCTTTACTTATTTGACAAAACATTTTAAGTAAAAGAAGAAACTTTTGGTTAATTCTTGTTTTACACAGGTCCACGACATGTGTGCTAAAGTCGGAGTAGATCCTTAGCATCAAACAAAGGTTTCTGGGCAGAACTGTTAGCGATTGGTAACTTCTATTATGAACTTGGTTAGTATCAATCTCTTCCGTAATTTTGGTTATCGCAAGGCATGCTTAGCAACTTCTTTTTGACAGTGCATCAGAGGAACACTCGCTCACGCTTCCTACACCATTGTGTAGTAAAACTGTAGATAAAGTTTGGTCAGAAATTCATAAGACCCAACAAGAGCAGCAACAGAACAACGGGTGCAGCATACAGAACACAGGCCAATGTTTCGACAGGTCCTTGGCCTTGGAAACTGATATGGAAGACAAAACTACGTTTTTACTTGGACAACCCTCAAAGATGTCATACTAACTCAGGATAATCTAAAAAAAGAAAAGGAACTCACTGGTGAACAGATGTTATATGTGCCAAAAAGACTCAAGAGTCAGCTAACTTTTTTTGTATTGCCCTGTTGCAGCAAACCTAAATGTGTCCTAACAGTAAATGGACAGAGAAGAACAACAGATACTTTGATGGGATTTCAACTCCTAAATGTGTTCTAAAATCTAAGTGTTGGAGGCTTGGAGCAAGTTATCCCAAGTTAATGATGCTATCCCGTTTTAGAATTTTTTAGCTCCCTCTAGTGGCTTAGCAGCCATTAACTTCTCCTCATGATTTTGAACTCCCAGCTTCGATTAGTTTTTTTAGTTTCTTTGTAAAGCTTTATGCATCTTTCTAGATGCTTTACAATACAACTTACTTCGTGAAGAATGGTTCTTTTTATAGGTGTTTTTCTTTTTTCTTGTGCTGAGCCAACTAGCAATTCTTTTAGCTTATTATAGCCCTTCACATTGAGAAATGGAACTAAGGGTAGAAAGAGCCTGCATTCAGATGACACACTCCTATGAATAGCTTAATTTCAAACTGACAATTGAACCATCAGTTAAATGAATGAAGCAAGGAATCAATTTACTAATCCACAATCTTTTTACAAATATGCAATATTCGGCTGCCTATTATTTTTTTCAGGAAGTGGGTGGCTCTATGATCCTAAACCAAACAAGACTATTCTATTTATTAATGCTCTACAAACAATGTACTTAGATCAATAACTTATCATGTAATCAAAGAAAATGGCTTACTTACAAGAAAAGAAAAAAACAAACATCAAACCACATGACGTCTTTCTTTTTTGTCTCGGGAAAAATATCATCTAGTGTAACCACCTTATAACATGTAGATGAACAAATGATTAAGTCAAACAATGGTTCTTTTAAAACAAGATTAAATAGCATTGTGTTAGAAAACTGTGACTTAAGTATAAAGGTGGAAAAGGACAAAAAGACCATTTCTCAGGAAGACCAGAAAGTCATAAGCCAGTGAAGAGCATTGAGCCTTCAATACAATTTCTCTCCATGATATATTTATCATTATCTTCCCTACTCCTCCTTAAAAGCTTAAGCACATTCAACATAAAGCTTGAAAGATCTTTGAGTTAACCACAAAGTTGTTTTCTTTTCTCAAAGAGTTGTTTCCCGCTTGGAGAGGAAGAAGAAGCTTTTATATGTTATTTTTCGCTATTTGGATTTATGATGGAGAAATGGGAAAGTTGCCATTAAGAGACCTGCTTTAGCTTTGATTTATTTATAACTTTATTATTTTGAATGTCGATAATATTTGTATATATTTTATAACTATTTTGAGTAAAAAATTGTCGATGAAGAAAAATACTTTTAAAATCATTTAATGTACTACTATATTAACAAAATTTTGTCAGATATTTATTTTACACGTAATGGGATGATTTAAAATGTTTAGAGGGGAATAAGTACACACCTCTCGCTTTCTCGAGAATAGTATTGATTTAATGAATGATCTTGTGATTTAATGATTTTACTTTTATTATTTTATTTATCTATTTTAACAAATCAATACAAGTTTATTACTTTCATTCAATACTACTTTTATCCTCAAGTAACGCTACAAAATAATAGTAATCAAAAATAAAATTTTAAAACATAATTAATAATTTTAATTTTATAAAATTAACTCTTAATAAAATTAATTTGTCTCATAAAAAAATAAATAATATAATCCTTTTTTATGTAAACAGTTTTTGAGTGAGTAAAATTAACTCAATTAACTCTTAATAAATTAATTTGTCTCATAAAAAAATATATATATAATCCTTTTTTATGTAAACAGTTTTTGAGAGAGTAAAATTAACTCAATTAAATGAAAAAATGATATAAAAAATAATTACTTACATAACTTGATAATTAATTATATTAAAAATTATTTAACAAATTATAATTAAAAAAAAACTATATAAATATTTAACACAATATTATTCCCTTTTGTTCAGTAGCAGAGTAACGGCTAGATTGATACAGTAGAAGGAGGATATGACGACGACCGAGAATAGGCGTTCGTCTTCATCGGCGTTGGAGAATAATCAGACCGGAAAATTGAATGTTGGAGCCGCCAAGAAACAACCAAACTTGTGAGTGTTTTTTTGTTCTCTGTTTGTATAAATTGATTGATTACTGTAGGAAGGTAAACTAGAGTACTGGGTTTTTTTTCCCTTTCTTTGCGTTTTTTTGATTACTGCTTCAATGATTTACTTTTTCTTATGTTGGTTATTGGGTTTCTTGTGTAAATTTGTGTATGGAAGGAGGAAAATGTAGGTGGGTTTTGTGATTTGTGATTTGGAGTTTCATGATAAATGATCGAAGATACTGGGTAAAAATTAGTTTGAGAAAATCAAGTGAAGTGATTTGAGGGTTAATCGATTATCAGTTTAATGGTTAAAAAGTACTATGAATGAAAAATTTGAAACATCTTCCCCCGATTCTGTCCACCTTGCTTTTTGAACATTGGACTATGAATGGAACAAAGTATCATTCCCCCAATTATGTCCACTTTCGTGAAAGCAATTTGTAGCTGTTAAAAAACTTCTTCTTAGGGATCATGGAATTATGACTGCTGGTTCTAGTGTCACTGTAAGTTCTGATGATAGATGAATTACTTACTCCGTTGCCTTTCACCTTCTCCTGTAATGTGAAATTTTAAATTTGTAGATCTTCATCTTCCTACATTGTTCTTCTGGTTAAATAGCCGTTGTTAAGTTTCATATATAATCTCGTGTGTTTTTCGACGCTTTATGATTACCTCTCAACTTTGTTCTTTTCCATTTGCATTGTTAAAATTCTCTCTACTATAGCTTCTTAGGTAATCTTGAGTGGAAAACGTGATAATTTCAGCAAATGTGACATTTTATCAAATGTTTGTGACGTTTGTACAATAAATGAAACATTTATAATAAAAATTTCATCAAACGGTCTTTAGTTTTTAGTGATCTTTGCTATTGAGTTAGAATGATCCTAAAGTTCTTCTCTAATCCGTAAGTAGATTGAACTGAAATCTTATTTGAGGGAAGTGCTCAGTGCTACTGAGTATAGATAATTCTCAGTTTGTTGGACCAGTGACAAACTCTATTGGTGATGTCCAATAGCCTTTGATAACTTGGATGGGACAACAATATCTCCTTCACCATCGACAGCTTCATCACATCCTTCTGTTAGCACCCAATTTTCCCACTATAGACATATCAAATATAGACAAATTAGTGTGTTGTTGTGTTGTGTTGTTGTCCTGTTTGTCTCTTTCATATTTTTCTGTTGAAGTCTAGTTCCAGAAGAGCAGTTAGGACTGAAATCTCTCTATTTAACAGGACTTTACTGAAACAGTTCAGCAACACTCAGGATCCACATTTATGGATTTGTTCAGTAGGAAATATGCTCGTCTACTGATTGTAAGCTTTACGTATAACCCAAGTTGGAACACTTTAAGAGTTTGGATGATATGTCTGATACTTCTGCTGATATTCAATATTATTAGATTGGAATCGGATTAATGGCTCTCGTGCAGTTAGGAGGGAACAATGCAATAACTTCTTTTGCCAGTTCAATTTTTAGAGCAGCTGGTAAGAACACTCAGAAATAAACTTCTGTTTTAAGTTGACAGCCTTTTGTTTATAGGCATACATCTAAAAGTTAAGATCATTTTACAAGGTTGTTCGGCAGACTCAGCATCTCAAGTCATGGTTGTTCTCCAGGTTCTCAACTCTTACTACTCCAGTTTAATAAAAGACTGTTAAAAAACACTCAAACAATTGTTCTTCATTTCAGCTTCCATTTGCAGTCGCGAGTATTATCCTTACAGAAAAAGCTGGAAGACGACTTCTTATGCTGGTAAGGTTAATGACTGTAGGTTCATGTCTCTTATCAAATGAAGTACAATTTTAATAATTTGTGTTGTGTTGTGTTGTGTTGTGTTGTTGTGTTGTGTCTAGTGACAAATTAGGTTGTGTTGCTGATTAGGAAGTGAATTTTTCATGTATTAAAATCAGTATAATTAATACACCAGCATATATAAGTTATGGATCAATTTATGCGACTATATGTTACATATTTAATCCTATATAACTTTAACCAGTACTTACTGCATGACGCAAGTAGAGATGAATGTCTCTGTCATGTGTCAGCAAGGCACTCAGTGAGAGATGGTTTAGGGTTCCAAGAATGACCCCGACGCTCTCTGTTCTGTACTCTACCTGTCATTGCCATGGCCATCAATCAATTACTACAATATATGTATTATAGGATTAGTTTATACCACTTTCTGACTAAAACTTTTGTTATCATACATAGAAGGTGCGAAAGCTAATCTTATAGAATATTCTGTTGCACCATTTCAGCTACCCCTTGCATTCTAAAATAAGTATAACATTGTGTGGCTAAAATTATTAGGTTGAGCAAAAGTTTTTGTAGTATCATTGGACAATCATGAAGTGGACCAGTGACATTCTAAATTATTATTTTCAGTGTTAACATGAATTGTTTAGCAATATCATTACTGTCCAGTGGACCAATTCCTGCTTTTTGCCTCCTTAAATGATTATATTACTGTTCTTAATTTGATTATCATTACACAAATGAGCACAAGAAGTTGAGAAACTTTTGATAATTTTGAGTTTTCACAGTTTGATGAATATTTTATTTAATAAGTTATTTTGCAATGTGAGTAACTTGAAAAAGATTGTTTCTTGTATATGAAGTTGTGACTAACTTGGAATCACTTTTGACTTTGGAAGGCACCATGTACGCACAAGATTGTTAGAAGAACATTCCTACTTTGCAACAGTAATGCAGTTTCCTCAGGGACTGCTGTTCTACCAGCATCCTCCTCTGTCAGACCAAGCAGTAAACCTAGTTCTATTCAACGAAGTGATGCAATTGTGCCTAAGATCACTGCCATTCCTCTTCCTGCCACTTGCACCATGACATTTCTCCATCTCACTCAGATATCTTAGTCTCCATGGATGAATCTATGGACACAGTGAGAAGTCTATTCAACATGTACAGTTTCCTCTTTATCAATTACTTTATGGTAATTCTATTCTTTCTTCCATTTCTAGGTTAATATTCTTTCTCCATCTCACTCAGATATCTTAGTCTCCCTTTCTATTCTTGCCATTGTCTCTTCAGAGATAGTGCTAAACCAGATTATGACATTTCTTTTCGTGTTGTGATTTGGATTATGCAGGCTTTGGAGGAATCTTGACAAGATTGACAACATTCAACAACTTAGGAAATTGGAGGACTCAATTTCAAAATCTCTTAACGAAATCGCAAAGCATAAGGTATACTTAGATCTTGTGTCACCCAACAGTCCATTGACATTCATCATATAAGTTATGACAGATCAAATTTACTTGTTTTTATGGATTTAACTGGAGAAGAGCTCTAGGGCCTAAAAGGTTACTCTACTATTTTTTAAACTCTTAAACTGCTGGAATCTGGGCAATAGGCGAACCTAATCAGTCTTCGTGTGACATTCTAGTTCTTACGGATTCTAGAAGGTTATCTGACTTAACTGTGTTCTCGTTGTCACTACAATCATGGATTAGATTATATATTAAAATTACCAATGTACAGCTTCATCTATAGACTTCATGTTTCTATTTCCTTTTCAGGGATTTTGAGAAAGTGAAGTTCAGGGAAATGTTACTTTCTGACCTGGAACTTCCATTGGAAAGGGACAAGAAAAGAAAGGTGACATTGAACTGAAGTTCTTTGAATTACATGACTTGAAAGCCGTGACAGACATTTTTTCCCCTGATAATAAGCTTGGCGAAGGAGGTTTTGGGACTGTTTTCAAGGTATTGTTTCTACAACCTGGATACCTGCATGTCTGCAACACAAAATATGCGCTCACACCTAAAGAAAATGGAAAGAAATCCCTCCGGAAAGAGCCATATAGTATATATCCTGATTTTAGTTAATGTCTTTGCTAGTTGTACTTATGTTTTAAAGGTGTGATGATTGTTTTTTTGCAATTTCTAGGGTCAATTGCTAGATGGGCAGCAAATAGCTGTGAAAAGGCTATCAACTCAAAGGCAAAGCTTCTGTGAGGGGTGGGCGGCTTCGAGGTAGGGAGCCTCGGGGATAGAGGGGTGGGGATGTGGGGTG